CATTTCAGAAATTACGACTTGTTTCTCAGAGAGTATTTCCGAACCGATACGACCTTCAAATCTTCAAGAAAAGAGCGTACTCCTTTTTAAAAGGCCGGCAACGCACTGTGAGTCCTCTGGTGTTGCGGGTGTCCATGGGCGGCGCTGATCGCTTACCATCAGGTGATACATCTGCTCTGGCTGGCTGGGCAACCGGCTGCCGTGCAACGTGTCGCGGGTTCGATTCCCGCACGGGACAACACTTTGTGTGATCCACAAATTGTTGTTTCGGGTCTGGGTGTCTTTGTGTATGTGAACTTGTATGTTTGTAAACGCACCCACGACACAGGAGAAAATCCTAGTGTGGGGCAACGTTTAAAAAAAAAAAAAAAAAAAAAAAAAAAAAAAAAAAGAGAGAGAGACCTACCTGTCTTCTTTCAGACATTGCACTGACTTCTGTACTTAAAAAGGTGACGAGCCTATTATCAAAAATGCAAGCCTATATTTTGATTTAATAACTAATACTTTCTAAAAGCCCAACAGTTCCGACCAGAGGTTCAGATTTGCCCTTTGCTTTGGTAGTCGCAGTGAGACCCCTACATCTACTAAGCAGTGCAAATGCGATTGCGTAAACAGCCGCCGGCTTATTTATCAATTAGACAAATTATCATAATTTGAGTCATTTGCATTATATTCAAAGTAAATAAGAGGAAGATCAGTAGCTTAACAATAGCAGTGGTCTTGTTGATTTTGACGTTTTGAACGTTTTACTTCTTCATTTTCTTCTGATTTCCAAATCGTTTTATGTATCGATAGAACATTATAAATTTTCTCAGAAAAGAATATTTACGAAACTTCATATTACCTTGATATCTGCCTACCCCCCTAGACACAACAGATCGATATTATAATCCTCATAATTCAATCTGTCAGTAAACCATTGAACGTCTTCACCGACTGCACATCGGCCATTCAATCAGGGCTGTCAATTTTGCTTCGTTACGTAGAAACCGCTTTGATAAGACATGCAGATAGGATTATGGACAGTGGCATCCCTGCCCGGGCAATCATTAGGCTTGCAGCTTGTTTAGCACTAAATCCTTTGTCTATTACTAATAGGGATGGGGATTTGCGGGTTTAAGTTGGTTTCGTATAAATGGTGCGGATATTTTGGTTGATGTGAGATTTTTATTTAGCAAAAATCTAGATATTAGTAATGTATTGATGGTTTTGAAAGTTTAACATGAGCTTATTAAACTGTCAAACACCAATCGGTCACCGGTGACCGCAACCTATTGTTCTATAATTGTGTCTACAAAACCGGTACTCGACGAGTTAAATGATAAAATAAATAGACATAAAGTTGGTAGTTTAAAACTATGACCGAGACGAACGATACGTGTAATTATTTTTCAATTCTATTTAGTTCTATCATAGTTCATTTATCTTTTTCGCTAGCTAATTTTAGTATAATATGAAACGTTAGCCTGTGTTTATTGTGTGTGTACGGAAAACAAAATTTGTATTATTGCTAACGGAATGTTAAATATCGGATATTCTAAATGCACTCGGATATCTTAATCGCAACACAGAGACATCACTATTTATGCATTGCTTCGGATCAATTATGTGTGATTTGGTTTAAATTGAACGTGCCCTGTGTTTAGAGTGACTGCCTGTTTAGCGAACAACTGTACATAGACTTAATTTACTAGCATGTTGATTTAGTCTTAAATGTTGGTCAAGTTTATTTAAGTCTTTACTGCCTAAACATTACAGTGGTATTTCCTTATTTAGTGTGTATTTTCGGCGTGGAATTGGTAAGTAAAATATTCGTCAACGACAATCCACTACTGATAAATAGGGTTCTTAAGATAGCTCTCTATAACCTCTACACTTAGCAAGAGCGTTGGTAATCGTAGTTTAAAATGTTCAGGTTTATTAGGAGTACTGGTTCCCCAGTATCTATCATGTATTTATTTTCTTCGTATCTTAGGACTCCCAAAGGTAGAATTTGGGCAGCGATAGAAGCATAACAAATGTTAAAAGCATAGACAAAAAAAACGTCATCGCGTAGCGGGAAATTTTAATCTGTGGTTCGAGAAATGAAAAAGTCATGATGGCGGGAACTCGGAAGTTATGGAGATGGTATATTTTGTGTTAAGGGAATTTTAATATAGGTATTTAAAAGTCAATTTGCCTATTTATGTATTGTTGTTGTTTTTATTTCCAATTAATAGTTACCGTAACGGTTGAAGTCTTACATTTCCCTGCCTTCTGAGTTTCTAAAATCCAATGAGGTTTAAACCAATAAGTTTCTTAAATCAAAATTAAGGTAAAATCTATGAGAGGTTTCCAGTTTTCTAATAATATGTAATGTATTTAAGTATTAAGGTAACTACACCTAACCATGTGAGATCTATTACCTATACTTTTCCAATGAATATTTTTGTATCTCTGTCCATTTACATTTCTGAATAGGGATTGTTTATTTATTATAATAGGGTAGATGCCTAATTTTTAATTCAATGTCCGTCTGGTAGATTATTTTATATCATTAGACACGTACTTTGTATTTTTTTTACAGAAACGAATACTTTGACGATACTTATATCGATTTGAAATGTCGCGTGACTTCACGTACGTTGATTCGTTTTATCTAAATGTTGTTTATTTTAAATTAAAATAAAAAATACGTATAAATATATACGTATAAAAATAAGCTTTAAGTGTGGGAGAGCCATGCTTCGGCACGAATGGGCCGGCTCGACCGGAGTGATACCACGGCCTCACAGAAAACCGACGTGAAACAACGCTTGCGTTGTGTTTCGTCGTGTGAATGAGGTTACCGGAGGCCCAATTACCTTCCCCTTCCTCAATCTCCCCAATCCCTGAATCCCCAACGAACCTCAAACTCCTAATCCCCAAAAAGCCGGTGACGCACTTGTAACGCCTCTGGTGTTCCAGGTGTCCATGGGCGACGCCGATTGCTTACCATCAGGTGATCCGTCTGCTCGTTTACCGGCTTATGCCATAAAAAAAAAAAAAATACGTGTCTAATATTTTTTCATTATCTAATTTACGGTCTAATTAGATCTTTAATTTTCATACCAACATTTGAAATGTATTTTAGTTTGTATGGATTAAATTTGTATAACAGTTTTATTTCGAATGACTGTATGCGGCAGATCATTAAGTTAAAATATGAGATGCGCCTTCTCAAATAATCTTCGCAAGATGCTCAAAGCTTCGAGCACACACTCCAAACGTAGGCGTCTTTCTAAAATTACATACTCAAGAATCTTCACACAAGTTGACAACGAAGGTTATTTCTGCTCAATAAAATGAACAACTACAAATGGAATAACACTCAAAACAATATTTCATCATCAAATAATATTGATTGATTGATTACCTACTGGGTAGAGAAGTTATTTTCAAATCACATAGGACTCATAACTGGTGACCTGACTGGTGACTGGTGAGTTTTAATATTCCACAATACCTAACTACATAAAGTTTCATGGAATAAAAGGCTTCATACTATATTATATTTCCGTTACAATAAAGAAAGAATCAGATATTAAACTCATGATATTGACATAGTTTTTTTTTTGTGAGTAGGGAAAATCATCCAATAACTTCTCCCGCCTTGGGTTAGGCGAGTGGGAGTGTCAGACTCTTACTGACTAGAAACCACCCCGTTCCTACTCCTGCTCTTCTAGCCGGAGTCGTCCGTGGCTTCGTAAATAATAACATAGTGCAAGTCCATTACACCAAGATCATCTTCAACAATTCACAGTCCAATTACATAAACCCTTATCACATACTATGAACACCTAATTATAATTATTTAACTAATTAACCATAAATCAAGTCCTAATTAAATCAATTAACTAAATCAAGCAAATCAAATCAACATTAAGGGGGTGATTGAAACTATAATAACCTTATTAATTGTGTTCAGGGATTTAGGAGTAATCCGTCTAATCTAACGGGAGCTTAGTGTATTCTGTACCCTTAATTGGCTGCCTGGTCGCGCGGATTTGAGTGGAAAATCGCTTGGTGTATGGTTGCATAGCATGACGTGTGCAAGAAAGGGTTATGTGGGGTGTAGGGTATCAAAATGTGTGTAGTGTTAAGACAACTTTCTATTGTATTTTTTGTGGGTTCCTTCACAGTATACAAATTTAAATATCGGCTTCACCATCATTTGCTTTACATAACATAACATCACGCTATTTTTCCCAAAAGGGATAGGCAGAGGTACACATTATGCCACTGTACAATGTAACACCCACTTTTCACTATTAATGTTATGAGTCCCATGTAATAGGGGTTGAGCCTATTGCCATATACCGGTCACAATTCCAGACTCCGTGCTACTACTGAGATTTTTTTTTAAACCTAGTAATACTTTGCCCGACCCGGGACTCGAACCCGAGACCCCTTGCCCGGTTGGCAGTCGCACTTGCGACCACTCGTCCAACGAGGCATCATTTGCTTTATTGAAGTATAAATTGTCTGTATTACAATATCTATGTTTTTGCAAAAAATTGCAAAGGCCGCGTTTCATTTGGAGATGGTTTGGCCATTATAATCATCACACTTGCATAATCTTAGAAAATTCGTATACATTGGTACTTGCCGTTGGTAGGTTTCGAACCCGCATTCTCATGCATGAGAAGCGGGCGTCTTAAACCTCTGGGCCACAACGACGAATTTAATTAAGCACACGAAATAATTAATTATCCTTGAAGCAATTCGTATTTTGTGTCCACTTTTAACGCTGCAAGCTAATCGTATATTTTATGATTCTTATGATTCGTAAAGGCAGGCAGGAAAGCTTGATTTATTCTAGATTACCAGATCATAGTTTCAACGCTTCGACGTAAACTCGATCAATTAAAAAAATAGGTTAAAACCTCATTTCAAATATCGAAACAGGTACATAATAAAGACCAATAAATTAATTACTTTTTAATTCTTATGTCACTGTCATAGTAGCGTACTGTCAACGTTCAAAATTTGTGTTTGTTCCGTAATGAAATAAAATATTAGTAGGAAAGGGACATTAAAAAATAAGAATTTTTCAATTTAAAACGTATTTTGTTGTCAGGATGTATTTTTCGAATACGGTGTTGTTATTTGTGACTTAGATTAAGGTATGAGTCAGAGTACAGCGGACGTAAGAGACTTTGAGGAACGATATTCAGCATGCTTCGTAGATTTTGGCCTAAAATCTGGTGAATAAAGTTTATTTTTCTTTGTTATTTGTGATATTATTGTTATGGTTTGTGTGTATAGTATGTGGCAGGTGATGTATTGTATGTGCAAAGTTGTTTGCATAGGAATTTATAAGCCTGACCAGTTCAAAATATGCTTGTCTTAAATATGGTTTAGCTTTTTTATTATGTCCCTTATATACAGCACCATGCATAACATCCATGATCAAAGAGTAAAACAATAAAATAACATATAACATAACATCACGACTTTTATCCCCGAAGTGGTAGCCAGAGGTGCACATTACGGCACGTAATGCCATTGTACAATGTAACACCCACTTTTCACTATTTATTATTAAAAAAACTTAATATCAAGTCGAACATAAATATAGTTCTGTCGCTACAGATTCTTTGTATAATGACAGAGAAGGCACAATATTTAAATACAATTTAAAATTGAATAGCCTGTTAACATTCTAATACCATTTTTATTTCTTCCACCCAGCTGCCGGTCTTCTTATAGGAAGCATGGTGGGCAGTTTCTTTCTTCGGGGATATAAAAAATGGCCGATGTATATTGGAGGTGGTCTTGGCTTCGGTTTGGCTTACACCAACTGTGAAAACAGCCTAAACCAGTACCTAATGTCTATGGATCCGAAAGCATGTAAAATAAAGTTAGTGATCTTTGCCCTTTTTATTAATATCTTCTGGTATTACATCATTATCGTTGTAATCATTAATTGTAGCATTATCTGTAGTGATCATTAGATTGTTTGATTTAATAATATTATTTTCTATTTTATTTGAATTTAGTTCGTTTTTTGATATTTACTTTCTTGTATTTCACAAGGCAGTAATTAGGAGTAATCTTTTCAGGAACCATAATTTGAATAAAATCATTATAATAACCCTTTCAATAAAATCAACTTTAACGTCTTGAAAGTTTCCACAAACGTGAAACCGGTGTTAGAAAAAAATAATGCGACTCTTTTGAACATCTAAACAAAAAACATGTCTGCAAAATGACTGCACAGTTGTCGCGGTAGCTGGGTAACTGGCTGCCATGCACCGAGTAGCGGGTTCGATTCCCGCACGGAGCAATTGTTGTTTCGGGTCTGAGTGGCATGTATGTGTGAACTTGAACGTTTGTAAACGCACCCACGACACAGAAGACAATCCTAGTGCGGAGCAACGTCTTTTTTTTTAAAAAAAAAAAGAAAGAACATCTACTATCTATATGAGCTACTGTACTTTCTTTAGACAATACATTGCGCATTTTCATCAGTCAATTTACAAACGTCTAAAGATTATTTATTTATTACCAACAAAAGCTAATTTGTAGCGGCTCACCAAAGCAGTAAGGTCTAGTTTTACACAAAACATCAATATTATACCAAATCTTTTGTCGCCAAAGCAATAATTGTTTCTTAACAATTAGCTTTGAGACCGTTTGTATTGGAAATTGGCAATACCAACTGCGAGGATGAAATTGCTTTTGAAACTGCAGACGGAACTAATTAAGGCAATAAAAATATTGAATAGGAGCTAAAAAGGGATATTTTTGGAGGCGAAATAGTAGTTGTTCTTTGTATGGTAGATAATGAAGAAGTTATCGGACACTGAACGCAAGCTGCTATAAATATTGGGGTTGTAAAAGTTAGGGCTGTCGAGTTGGAATTAATCGGTGATTTAATAATGTTTCTTTTTTATAAATGTAAAGCTGATTAGTTCATAACAATCGTTAATTCTGTGTTATCTGTAACGGAATGAAATATATGGATCTTTCGAAAATATGTCCTGTCAAAAATAAATACGTTTTATCTTTAAACCATAAAAGCGAGATTGTGGCCAAACGTTAACCTACCAAGTATAAAATACCTTATTGCAGGTTATATTCGTTCACAAAATTTAAGTAAAAATTTCAAACGTTTGTAGAATTAATGTGTATGTAATGTTTTAGGATTGACACAGTTTTTAAAAGGGAATAAATTGTAATTATTTCTCCCAATAAATATCCCTCTAGATTGTTTACGTATGTGAAATATATTCTTGTAACAAGAAACCGACAGCCCTATAGGAAATGCCATCAAAATATCGAAACGGTCAACAGTAAAGACGTTACCTTCTTTTTGCACAGCAGGACGTTTCCCTGCGCCATTTGCGTCATTGTTTCCACATAAAGGTCACTTAACGTTGCCTCTTCTATTCAAAGGGCATTGACTAAAATTGGTGCCTTTCTTTTTTCTGGCGGCAGTCGATGATTTATGGAAAATATTATCTAGAATATCATTACAAACGAAATTGTCTATGGGCTCATATATGGAAATCTCAGTCTGGACTGAGTTATGAGCGTTAAAAGGAGCTGGAATCAAACATTTTATTTTCGTTTTTTTATTCAAATTATTCATATTTTTGTCACAATTCCTAACTTCAAATTGCGCGCCACTGTACGCCGGGCATAGAAACACCAAATCATACCACAATATATCCATATTGTCAGCCGCTAATTTTTATGACCTATTTTCTCTTAGTCGATAACTTGTGGGATGCTTCTAGGAGTTGTGTCATGAAGCTTCATGAGTGTCAGCTGTGGTACCAGTGGTGGGTTGAGTAGTTGTAGCCGTCCAAACATCTAATAAAGTATTTTTTTGCCGTTGACTCCTGGTGGGAGACTCATCTACTTTATAGTTAACATAATCTTTTGAAGAAAGCAAACCGTCGACTTTTTAAGTGATGGAATATACGTCAGATGAGCGCATAATTTTTTTATATAATGTGATCATTCGAAATGCATCACTTTGTGACTAAATGACGATGTCTTTGTTCAGAATCTTAAGCTAGATGTAGATTAAAGTATTAACTGTAGTTAGATTAGTCACTAATCGGAAGTAGGTAAGTCGGGAGAAGTAGACAGAAAAATGTTTTTTTCGTGTTTTGACAACTGTTACTACTCAATCCGCTACCGACGCCGCAGCTGACAAACATAGCATTTCATGATAGGGCTCAGTAAAGTATTTTGCGGGTTTTTGACTGAGAGGAAATTGATCATGAAAATCTGTCATAGGCCATAAACCGTATACATATAAATTGAACACGCTAGCCAATCAAACGAAATGTTTTTTTTTTCTTCAGCAGTGGTCAGTTAATGGTTCACTCTGTTCTGATTCCGTGGACTAGGTAATAACAAAAAAAAAAAAAAATTAAAAAAAAATTAAAAACGTTCTCAATACCTAATATTTATTATATTCCTTGAAATCGTTTATAAATATTTGTTACAAAATATTTCTGACAAGTAAATGAAATATGCGTTGTGTACGGTTACCATCAACAAAATCACAGGAATTATATAGCACATTTTCACATCTTTAAACTGATTTAACTCTGTTCGGACTGTGTTTATGATATAAGACCCTATACATTTTTTTGTTTGTAATGTTATTCTGCATCAGTTTTTCACCATCCGATCAACTGCCGCGAAAAAATGAAAAGGCACCACGCTCCATACAAATTTGGTCATTGTCATTTTAGCCGCCATTGCCATAGTCGCTTCCATATTTGTATTGAATTCGGCACCGCCTCCTTCTTTTTTAGTTGTTTGCAAACCTGCCGCCTATCCACCACCCACAGAGGTGCCTAACAAAATTACTTCCACCATTCATTTCATCATCATTAGCTCCTATGTCTTCAACATTAGGTTGATATTTGACTTCATCAGCTGCTTTATTAACTTGGTTTTTAGTCAAATCATCACTTGTTTTCGGTTTTAAACATTTTTATTTGTTACGTTCGGATCGTTTGTGAGTCATGTCCGTTCTACCTTTGAGGCAGTCCGCATGGGCGTTTCTATGACTTTTTTTAGTTAAACGCATGTCAATTACATTTCGGATTGCATTTGGTTTAGGACAATGGCTGCCAAAGTTTTTGTTGTGCTTTACAATTGGCGCGGATATGTTTAGAAAACTCTATATTGTTGAGTCTCAATAGAATGAAATGGTAGTTGAAATGCTCATGACTCATCTTATGAACCGATTTGGATGATCTTTTAGATGTACTTAGTGCTGTCTTGAATTTCTGTGACTCTTAAAAAATAGATACTTCGTATTTATTCGTCGATAGTCGTTATTCAGTCGTTGTATTCACATAGTTCACATTTCCTTATTATAGTTAAATCATCAAGTACGGTTTAAATATCTACAATTCAATAATACTTTTATTGCAATCTTCTAAGGCTCTAAGCTAATTCATTGTGACTCAAATGTAATCAAATTTCTCAAATAGCATCTTATTCATTTTCGTTTATTTTTCTTCATAATACAAGCAGAAGTATCTCTGCCTATTCCTTCAGGGAATATCAGCTACAATATTAAGTAAAACAATAAGCAAATAGAAAAATATTGGTATCCACTGTCTCGTTCATCTGGTTTGAATAGATGGGAAGACAATATGGCCGCCGGCTGCAGTTTGAATTGATCGTGCACAATTGAACCATGGACTGTTATTTGCAATATTTCTATCCATCGTTTCGTGAAAGAAAATACCTGGTTTTGATTAGAAATTGTCATATTTTCTTTTGATGGTAGAATGGAAAAGTAGTTTTACGATCTATCTGCTTAATTATTGGGAAAATAATAGCAACAGTTGTTATAGTTGATCGAAGGAAAATAGAGAAGGATTGTAGTTAAGATTCTATTTTTTGTTAGAATTTGTTTTGGTAATATAAGTAGACATAATGATAATTCATGAAGTTAATAATTTTAGACGATTGTTTTTAGTTAGCTTTCAAGTATCTTATTTATTTTGACGATGTTATCTTAAAATTAAGGTTATTTTCTTTTTCGATCACTTTGACTGGATTTTAGTGTTACATTGAGCTCGCACAATCAAAACAGCAAAAGTATGTAACTAGAGAATTGTATTGTAAACGAGTACCCTATAGAGTTTCTTGCTCGTTCTTCTCCATAGGAATCTAGACCTTGGAATGAGCAAATAGCTTCACTTTTAATTTTTTTGTTGAGTTTCTAATGGGCTTTTCTGGTTTCATTGAAATAAATTATTTTGACTTTGACTTTGAAATACTCGCAAACCATCCTTTGAAGATTTTGTCTTAGTAATTTCAGAATACGTTGTTTAATTTTCAGAATCCCAATTGTAACTCCAGACTCGAATATTGGACATGTCATGTTTAACATTTATTTTTAACTAGCTACTTCCGCGCGGTTTCACACGCTCTGCTCAGCTCCTATTGGTCGTAGCGTAATGTTTTATAGCCTATAGCCATCCTCGCTATCCAACACAAAAATAATTATTCAAATCAGACTTATAGTTACGGAGATCCTTCCGCTTTATATCCTCTCGTCTGTTGAAAGTTGCGGATATAATAGTATAAGATTAATATTTTAATAATGTATATATACTTTTATTCATATGTTACTGTTTGTTCACAGAAAAACCGCGTAACATGCTGTCTCCTGGACATCAAAGCATTGGTCTTGTGTAGTATATGTTTTTACTGTTAAACTTAAATTATTTTATTGAATAAAGTAAATATGGGTGTATATTCGTAAATTAAAATGTGTTGTTTTTTTTTAGTATCACCGATTTGTTTTGACCTCCTTTTTCAGAATACAAAGTATAATATGTGCTTTATATTTGACGTTCAGTATGCGGTGCCTTTAGCCAAACGCCACTTGAAAGCTTGTCTACAGAGAGAGTAGAAATCAAAATATATGGGGGATGACACTGACGAGTGTCAAAATTTACGTCAATTTCATTGGTTTGTTTTCTATTCTACAAGTAGACAAGCGCTAAATGGCTTTTGGCTACAGCTGTATGCTATATAACGCAAGTGGCTAGTAAAATGACCTATTGTAGTCATTGTGGGCGGTACATTAATGACGTCATCGATCCGATCTAAATATTTATTGGGTAGGTACTTACATTACTTACGTACCACATAAAGGTGCACGAGGAAACCAATCACTACCTGCTACTAAGAATTCCATGAAACAGAAATTGACACACCGCACAGCGCACACAATTTCAAACTCCGGAATTATTTCTCAGAATTTCTAAAAATATAAAACCCCACAAACGACGTCGACCCAGGACTTGATCCGTAGTATGGTCTTTTGTTATTTATCACATTAAACCAAAATGTGGAAAAGACTCACGACCAACAATAAATAAATGAATACATGTCATTGGACGTCCGCTTTTCATACATGAGGATGTGGCTTCGAAACCTACCAACGGCAAGTACCAATGTGACTTTTTCCAAGATCTCGACACCACTGACAAATAGTGAAGGAAAACATCGTAAGGAAACCTGGGCTTATAATTTCTAATTATGTATAAGTTTGTAATCGCCAACCCGCAATGAGTAAGCGTGGTAATTAATGCTCAAACCTTCTCCGTGTGAGAAGAGGCTTTGCTCAGCAGTGGGCATTTATAAGCTGTTGATGATAGTGCAAATCCGTGGAACTAGCATTGAATAGTTCCGCGTATCTGACAAATGTAAATTCAAGTCTTCGTGGTAAAATCCTGTAAATCTTAATTGACTGCCACTGCCTTGACACGAGTTCATTTCGACTCATTTTTAATATGTAAAAATGAGCTTCAAATTCATTGAATTAGGTAAGTTTTAACCTCCCTCTGTAAAACTGGATCTATCGCAGATACCCAGCCTTTACCTATGGTAGATTCGCGGATTTGCACCATCCCCGACGATATTACAATACATTTCTTAACTTAATGACCTCCTACTTTGAAATCTGGGCCATCAGGGCATCATCCCAGGTTATCTTGGAACATAGTAGTGTTGCAACATAGGGTGCATCTGATGAAATCATGGGTTATTGACCTGGAAGTCATTGACCTCCACAGACCTGGAGGTTATTAATCTTTACCATCGGGTATCAGACCTGGAGGTCATTGAACTCGACCACTAGGTCTCAAGCCCGATCAGGACCAGGTTATTAACCACCAGGTCAATGACCCATGATTCCATCAGGCACTCTTCCTAGGTGAGTCAAGCCATGAATCATCGCTGAAGTTGATACAGTGAGGAGTGGAGTTGTATTGGCTTGATATTTTTTTTCGTCAAAATTTTTTTGATTTCAAATAAGATATTATGTCACTTGAATGTTTTAAAATAGATTTGAAATGGGAATTATAATTTTTTTTCTCATAAAGGACAATACATGAAATATTAAAAAAAAGGAACTTATTGGATTGGACTTTATAATTTTTAACTCGTCGAGTACTGTCATTATAGACACAATTATAGAACAATAGGTTGCGGTCACCGGTGACCGCTTGGTGTTTGACAGTTTAATAAACATAATTATCTTTTTAATAAAAAAGATACAGAAACACCCAGCATTAAAGAAAAGGTCAAACCAAAACTACTTAATAACTTGTATAATTAATTGCCAAATAACAACTAAACTCAAAACTATCAAACATAAAATTAATGTACCTTAAAGAGGTATAATTAATAAACGACACAGAAAAAGTCTAATCTCGATTCATCTCCACACCTTTCCAACACATTCTGAAGCACCGTTTTAAAAGTTTGCAGTTCGTCACATAAAATAGGTCGACCAGAGCCGAGTGGTAAAATAAAATAAACTTAACTACAAATACATGTTTATTACTCATTGTTACAGTAATTGAAGTTTTTATAGCGTTTTTTTAAAGTCAAAGTCAAAGTCAAAATCATTTATTTCAATTAGACCATAAAGGCAGTTTTGAACGTCAACAATAAAATCAAAAGTGAAGCTATTTGCTCATTACAAGGTGCAAATTCCTATGGAGAAGAACGAGCAAGAAACTCCATAGATTACTCTTTTTCAATCAAGTTCACAATACAATTCTCTAGTTACATAGATTTGCTGTTTGAATTGTGCGAGAACAATGTAACACTAAAATCTAGTCAAAGTGATCGAAAAAGAAAATAACCTTATAGACAATAATTAAGACCATTTAAGGGGGGAAAATCATCGAATGATAGAAGGGAGTGTCAGGCTCTTACTGACTAAAAACCACCTCGTTCCTTCTCCTGCACTTCGAGCCGGAGCCCGGTAACCCGTTAGGTTCTCCGCGACAAGTTTTTATGGGCTATGTCATAATCTACTGGACGTTACCTTTGTGATGAATTAAGGAACATTTTTTTTATACTTACCTTCTTTATACCTTTCAACATTATCAACAGCCTATCAGTGCCCACTGCTAAGCAAAGCCTCTTCTCACACGGAGAAGGTCTGAGCATTAATCACCATACTTGAGCTAGCGGGTCCGCGATTTCAAACTTATAATTGACTACAATTGACTGCCTCGTTGGCCGAGTGATCGCAATCGCGACTGCCGGGCAAGAGGTTTCAGATTCGATTCCCTGGTCGGGCAAAGTATTACTGGTTTTTTTTTTAATCTCAGTAGCAGCACGGAGTCTGGAATTGTGGCTGGTATATGACAATAGTCTCACCCCTTATAACATAAATAGTGAAAAGTGGGTGTTACATTGTACTGACAGTGGCATAATGTACACCTCTGCCTACCCCTTCGGGGATAAAAAGCGTAATGTTTATTAATTTATGCTATTTTTGTAATTTTATTTATTTTTAGCATCATTTTGTGTAGGTATCATGTTGTTCAACACATTCTGGGAAATAGCATAATAATTAGCAGTAAAATGGGGTGAATAGGAATCAAGAGATGAAAAGCGACAAAAGAGGGGTAAATAGATATTATATTTCTCAATGCCTACTCTCCCCTCTTCTGTCTTTATTCACCTCACGATCTCTATTCACCCCAGTCTAGGGTATCAAGAAAAAAAAATCATTTTAAACTTGGGATTATCGTTTGAATCTTGTTCGTCATAGATATACTTAGCCATACTGCTTATAAGCCACATCTACTTTACAAGTGTTGAAATTTATAAAAACAATAAGTAAAACAGGTCACCATGCATTGGCACATTGACCATTTATCTCCCATTAAAAATTTCTAATTATTATGGGATGATGCCAGGGCATGAAAATTAAAAATCTAATTAGTCAGTCTGTGAGACAATGAAAAAATATTAGACACGTATTTTTTTTGTCGTATAAGAAAACAATACTTAGATAAAACGAATCAAAGTTTCGGAGTAGGAACTAAAACGTCATTTCTACGTATCACGTATTGATTTGAAATGTCACATGACGTCACTTCTAGTGAATATATCGTCGAAAGTAATTGTTTCTGTAAGAAAATAAAAATACGTGACTAATGTTTTAAAATAATCTACCAGACGGACATTAAAACTAAATCCGTCAAATCACTGCCAACATTACAAAAATCACAAGTATTCGACTCTCACAATCGATTTTCGATTACGATTATCGCAACACACATGCAATCTAAAGTTGCCGATTGAAAGCATCGATATAATCACCGGAAAAATATGAAAAATAATACCGAAACCCATTTGTTTAATGTCACGCAATCAGGACGCGATAAAAACGCTTAGTGCACGCATTTCCTTAGCCATTCTGAGCGATGTGTTGGTTAGTGAGGCCAATGATATATAGGAAGTAAGTGATTCAAGTTATTGGTAGTTGGTGATATGAAAGAGAGCGATTTTTGACCTGTAGTTACTTTTGTGTTTATATTATGTGCGGTTTTTTCGGTTGTTTGATCTGATTATTCATATAAGATGTCACTTATAAAAATATTTACCAACGTAATTTATGGACTAGATAATAATAATAATAAGAGTTAGATTTACGCATGAATCTACATTATTCGACTAAAACTAAAAACTATAGTTTACAACAACATACTTTAACAAAATTAGATGGTTGACTTTTGCGAGCAAGCTTCTTCAGCATTATTGACATCATATCCTGAATATTATAGGACTGAACAGAATGACTTCCAGATCAAAAAAGTTGAACACATAACAAAACATTTTTTCAGCATACAAATGTTTAAGCCCCCCAATCTATGCAAATAAATAAAATTGAAGTATCTGTTTGAAATATTAAATAAAATAACCACTTTTTACAACGTGCATATGAAGATACACATACCAAAATGACATGTTTTATATTGTTTGTCTGTGTATCTGTTTGTTTGTGCGGACTAATCTCTGGAACGGCTGGACCGATTTTGCATGAATTTTATTGGCAAGTATGTACCACGGAGTAGGTAATAGGGTTCTAAAATTCATATTCTAGGCGGACGAAGTCGCGAGCAACAGTTAGTACCGAATAAAAAAATCGAAAGTCAATCTAACTTCTACCAACAAATGAAAAAATCTACTAACCAAAACCAATATTAGTTCCAAGTTCCAATACAATCACACATTGGATCAAACATTCGTTTATGCTGATTACCCTTTTACATGGTTATAGTGGGCGGGACACAATAAACTGACACAGACTGTCCACCACGCTATACAGATATTAGCGTGATGATACATCCGTGCAGCTAT